CTAGCTTCATTGTAACTTCCAGAAACATCAAGAGGATTAGACGTGGGAGGGGGGAAGGGAAGAACCTAATTAACGGTACAGACTGTCAAAGTTGAAGAAGTAAATCAAAAACCATTCTTGGAGCCCAACCCAACTTTCAAAAGGAGGAAACAAGTCCCAGAGGCAGTGCATGCAAGATTCCAAGTCCGGGGCCTCAGAGGGCTTTACCAAGCCCAAAGGCTACAGATGAGTCGCAACTACAAGTAGATGAGGGAGGGAAAAGGAATCCAGTGCACCTGTCCAAGACCCCGCCCCTCCGAGGCGCCCTGGGTCGAGGGCACCCTCACCCCCCAGCCCCAGTGCTCAGGGCGCTCGGCGCTCGCTGAGGGCTCCCCCCGCCCCCCAGCCCGCCGGGCAACTCCGGAGAGGGAGGCCCGGGACCACGGCCCAGACCCCCACCCGGCCGCACCAGTGCCAGTTGTTCACGTTGGTCCCGTCCTCCCGCTCCTCCACGATCCAGCGCGGGTCCCCCTGGCCCCACTTGGCCATGTCTGCGCTGGCGGCGCGCCCTCAGCGGAGAACAAGGCAGGGCCGCGGCGGCGGGGCTGCGGTGCGGCAGAGTCGCTGACGTTTCCGGCTTCTCAGCCCAGGACCGGAGCGTTCGCTGCGCCCACAAAGTGCCAGAAATCCCCGCCCCTGCGCCGCTCCGCCCACCGCCCCGCACGGCGCGCCGGGTCGCTGAGCGCCGAGAGACCCGGTGCCGCAGCTGGGCCGCGAGGTGGGGTGGGGTGGGGTGGGGTGGGGTGGGGCGGGGGTGGGGCGGGGCGGGGCCTGGGGGTAGGGGGTTCCTGGTGGGCTATGGGTGGGGTGGAGGGGCCCGGGCAGGCCGTGAATGGGGGTCCGGGAGAGGTCTGGCCTGGGAGTCGGGCGGCTGGGGGGAGATGTGTGTGAGAAAGAGAGGGGAGAGTCTGCGCCCGTGGGGCGGGGTCGAGGCGGTGTGCCCTGCCGGGCGGTGTGGGGAGAGGTTCCCAGGCCCCGGGCTGCTGGGCGGTCCCTCAGGCGGGGGCGGTGTCCTGGCGGCCTTGTGGAGGGTTTGGAAAGGCCCTAGGGGCGCCGCAGCCGGACTCCAAAGTGCAGGGACCAGGAAGAAGGGACCTCCTTTAGAGGAGGGACCTCGGCCGCCTCCTATAAAGGCCTGGACACCTCAAGGGCTCATTATTACTACAGCGATTAGTTTCAACGCTAGCAGACGCTAGCAGACGGGTGGCGGGTAACAAGCCTGCCTGAGAGCCAGCCACATTGGGGATGCAGACGGGAAGCGTCTGTCCAGGCTGTCATCAGCTGTGCTTTTCGGCCCAGTGCAGGACTCGACCCTAGTGCTTGATCACCGTTTGCTGTACAGCCGACTTCTGAGGTCGGAGCGAGCCCACGGTGCTTGCGGTCTCCACTGTGCGCGTGCTTGTTACACCACATTCCTGTTGTGTCCGAAAGTTCCTGCAGAGTTGGTGCGCTATGATTCTCTCCTCAGGCCTTTCCAACACCTGTCCAAGTAGCATACGTTACCAAGTTCCTAGTTACTTCAAGAATGTTTATATTTTATTCATTTAGTAATCCTTTATAGATGACAAAAGAACGTGACTGCAAGTGCCCATTATTGTAGCTTGATGCAATTTTACAATAATTAAGTGGATAATGATTCCTTTAACAAAACTTCACCTTCCGGCAAAATCTTTGTACTGATTATATGGAAGATGTTACTAAAGGGTCTGTGGATATTGGTTTAGCATGGAAAACAAATATGATGATGGAAGGGTGGAAGCACCTGACTCTTCCGTTCCCTGATGTTGACCTGTCCTTTGTGATCTGTGCTCATCAAGAGATAAACTAACTGGTGGAGAACTTTTTTCTCCTTTCCTTACTGGAGCAACTGCATGCCAATATAATTTTCCAAAAATCTACAACAGTTATGCAAACAGACTACTTCAAAGTGTTTTGGCCCCAAAATAAAATGACATTTTTATTTCACCTTTTACACTTTACTTTGCCAAAGCCACGGACAACTAAAACATGGTATCAAATAGGAAAGAATTTCAATGGTAATACTAGTGATCACAGTTTTCTTATGCATTAGCTGTGTATCTTTTATCCAATTCATAAAGAATATTAATGATAGGACATTACATAGTAAGATTTAGATATGGATAATTGAAAACTGTGGGGAAAAACAAGACCAGGAAACTTACAAAGACAAAGGCTACAATCACTAAAATTTTATGTAGACAAAACATTTTTCCCAGTATTTATACAAAAAGTACTACCCCAATGGAAACAATTATAATTAAAATGTAAATGAAAAGGGCATTCTATGTAATAATTGACCAAGAATTAAATTGACCTAAAAGAATTTGCTCCAAAAAGTAATTTCACAAAGAAAACTTTCAGTAGTAATATAATTATTATGGCCCTGGCTGAGTGGCTCAGTTGGTTGGAAAGTCATGCACCAAAACATCACAGGTTTGATTCCTGGTCAGGACATATACCTAGGTTGCAGCCCTGGCCAGGGCACATAGGGAGGAAACCAAGTGATGTCTCTCACATGCTCTCCCTCTTCCCCTCTCTCTAAAATTTCCTTGGGTAAGGCTCTTTAAAAATATTTAAATATTATTATGAAAATATTAGTCTTAATAAAACTGAGTCAAGGTCTCAAAGAGAAATTCGTACACCCATGATTATAGCAGCATTATTCAGTGCGTGGAAGCCACCCAAGTGTCCACTGATGGGAGAATGAATAAGCAAAATGTGTCACTTACATATAATGGAATATTGGCCATCCTTTAAAAGGAAGTAAGTTCTGACATATGCTACAATATGGATGGAACTTGAGGCTCACATTATGCTATTAATGTGAACTTAGCATATAAACACTGTGTTAAGTGAAATAAGACAAAAACAAAAAGAAATACTGCATGATTTCATTTCCATGAAGAATTTAGAATAGCCTAAATCACAGAGACATAAAGAAATGGTGTTTGCCAGGGGCTGCGTGGGCAGGGGGCATGCGGAGCTACTGTGTATGGGCAGAGAGTTTCGGTTTTACAGTGAATGGCACTCTGGACAGCGGTGACAGGGACACAGCATCAGGAGTGTGTTCAGTCCCACTGACCTGTACTCTTAATGGATGAGCTGGTAAAATTTGTTATTTTTACCACAATAAAAATGGGAATAAAGCTCTAATCCAGTGAGAAAAAGATTTCTGGGCAAGAGGGTATTCATGCAGTGTGAAGGTGTATCACACACATACCCACGCAGTTAGTTCACTTAATAATTACGAAAGGAAAACATGATCTTTATAAGAAAGAAATCTGGCAATGGACCACCTTAACCAAAACTGGAACAAACTGACATAGGTACAATGTCCCCTGTGTGGTATTCTTGCCAAAAATGCTTAATCTGAATCTAATCATGAAGAAACCATCAGAAAAGTCTAAATTTAGGGAGATTCTACAAAATGGATTCAGCCTAGACTCTTCAAAGATAAACATTTCATGAATATCAAAAGAAGCCCAAAGAGACATGGCAAATAAATGCAGTGCATGATCCTAAATTAGCTCCTGGGTCCAAAACAAACAGTTTAAAATGCCATAATTGGGGAAATTTAGATTGCACCTCAGACTGCATATGTATTAGATAATATTGTGCCAGTGTTAAGTTTTCCGAGCACTGAATTTTGGTTGCAAAGGAGAATATTCTTGCACTTTGAAGATGCATGCTGAAATATTTATGGGTAAATATGATGTCTGCAATTGACTCAATTAGTTCAGAGGAAAACACAGATAAAGCAAGTGAGGCTAATTGTTGGCAACCAGAGGCTCTAGGTGAAGAGTATCTTGAAGGAGTCTTATACTATTCTTGCAGCTCCTCTGTAAGTTTGAAATTATTTCAAGATCCTCACAATGGGATGATCCCAGGCCACAGGGACTTCTCCCCATCAAGATGTCAATACCCCCCTTTTAGCATCAGTTACACATTGAAAATTATTTTATCACTTATTCTTTCCATCACTCAGCAAACACTTACTGAACCTACGTCACACACATGACAGTGTGCTAGGCCCTTGAATCGCATACTATGTTTTCTACTCTTTCCCTCTCTCACAGCCTGACATGTTTCACAAACGTTTACTGCAGATGGCCACAGTGTAGTACCAGTCTGTACTGCCAGATTCCAAATACATTTGGAACTTGGCACATTTCAAACCACTGAAATCAAGAATAATATCATCTCGGGACTTGCCTAACATAATAGGATGTTTTGCTGGTAATGGTAGTCTCTTCGTACCAGTCTTACAAAGCAGCTATCAGGGCCCTGGCCTGTAGTTCAGCGGTTAGAGTATCGTCCTGATATGTCATGGTTGCAGGTTTGATCTCTGGTCAGGGCACATGCAAGAAGCAATCAATGAATGCATAAATAAGTGGAACCACAAAATGTTTCTGTCTCTCTCTTACTCTATCTAAAATCAACTTAAAAAAAAAAGTCTATATGAGAAAATGTTAAGGGCTGAGTTCAATGGGGATTGTGTGGCAGGTGACCCAAGTCCTTGTCCCTGGGGGTTTCCATGGTAACAGTAGTAATGTTACTTGGCCATGAATGCCTGTGATCAGAGCATCAAGGACATGTGCTGTTTCCCACGTTCCCTTGAATATCACATACCTAACAGACATCTGCACAAACACAAATAACTTTATTCACATGTTCAACAGTGAATAGACTGAATTTTAAGGACACTTAATACAATCAATTTTGTGAACTCAGATTTGAGTTTTAAAAAATAGTAGTCAAGCTGTTGGTATTTTATTTTACAGAATTTTGCATGTAGCCCACTTCTTTCTGCATGAAGGTAAAATACTATTTGCATTTGCTTAATTCCCTATTCTTTTGCTATTTCAACACAATTTTGTGCCCCTGTCATCTCCTTGTTAGTCTAAGGTTATATCTCTTTCACTCTCAGCCTTTTCTCAGCTTCATTTTCTCTCTTTATGTTCTTGAATATAGCTTTGAGGTGTAGGGTATTGCTTCCCAAGGTCCACAACAATTACCTCCCTAGAAAATGTCACTCCTTTTAAAGGTCTTTTGTTGTGATCAGTAACTGAAGGGGCTCCACTGACAGGTATGTGTGGTTTTTCTGAATCATCCTGCAAGAGAATGGGACAAAGAGTGTAAATGATCAATTTATGAAAACAAACCCTGCTTTTAAAGACATAGGCTATATGCACATTGTTAGTGAGAAACAGAAAAGTATCACTAAGTGGTATAGAAAAACAGTGACAATCCATCATTTTCCTGTTTCTGTGGTTATGAAAGCACACCCTGACATAGACAGCTCTGGTAATGAATCACCCTCTGTACATAGCAGCCAAACCCAAGAGCTGCCTGCACCACCATCCTGTGTCCAGCTGGGCATGAGCCTCGTGTGGGGAGGGCACATGAGTTGTTTTTATTAGGAAGCCCCAAATGTGGCACTTCAGAAGGCCCTGGCAAAGTTTGTGTGCTGTGGTAGAAGGAGCCTAGAACTTGAGAAGGGACACAGGGCTGGTCCCAAGCTCAGCCATGGTGGAAGATGGATGACCTTGAACAATTCATGTCTTTTTCTCATTTCTTGGATCCCTACATGATCTCCAAGTCCTCCTCCAGCACTAAGATTCTATGAATCTGAGAAAAGCAGCAAAATGAAGAGAATTATTAGGAAAAACACAAAGGTAGGAATGAAGAATGAGTAAGTGTCTAAGCTTGGCATATGTAAGTGGTTTAATGCCATGAGCCTATAAAGCTAAGAAGAATAGTGTGAATGAGTGTGGACATTGCTCTGCTTCCAGGTACAAACCTAAATACAGCCCAGACCACCCCTTATTGCACCTAGCCAAGTAGTTTGCCTCCTTGTCAATCAAACAAATGCTACTGCCCCTTGAGTGCCAAAAAGCCCATCACCTCTTGCCCATTTTCTTTAGCATTCTTATCATCATGGTTCTCTTTTACTTCGTTCTCCGCTTTGCCCTTGTTGCCCTCGTTGCCCTCGTTGCCCTCAATGCCCTCTATGCCCTCTTTGTTTTCTAGGAGGGTGGCCACCATTTCTTTACTCTGTCTCTGGACAAGAATGCCAGGCCGTATGATTTGCCTTATGAGAGTCCTAAAAAAAATCAGTCAGTAGGGATTTTTAAAGTTATGCACATTAGCCACCATTATCACACACACACACACACACACACACACACACACACACAGCTTTCTGCAACATTCTGTGGTAGACTTACTTTTCTGGGTCTCCTGAGTTGCGTGTCTTCACATTAGCAGTTAAACCATCTTCATAAGTACCTCTTTCTATCTCCTCATCTTCCTTGCTTTGGAAACTGAAAATTAATGCACAAAAATTCACTTTTAAAGAGGAAACTGGCAATTCTAAAACCCTGGATGGAAAAAGTAGATTGTTACAGCATTATCATTTGCTCTATTTTAATTGTTTTATATTATTTCTAGATACATTTGCTAGTGTGACTTGAAATCTGATCCCAATCTATCAGCATGGACTTATACCATCTATATAAAAACAGCATCAGTAAAAGGAGGATGCAAATGAAGCAAATTAGTAGGATGATGATGAAAGTAATTGCTGTGGTTTCAAAGCTCATAGGCTTAATAAGCCGACTCATCCACTCTCACAATCGCCGTTTGTCCAAATGTTCTTTTCCAGCTCAGTTTGAATGTAGGTCTCTTGTTCTTTAAGTTTTCTAGAAACAGAAGAGTAAAAGCCTGTTTTCATGGTTGTTCATTTGTCCACCTTTGTAAAAGATGTTCTGCTCATTTCAGTGGAACTGACTCACACTGGCTAATTTTTCTCCATAAATGCGGTGGGGGACTGAGGTGGCCAGAGGAGATTCTGAGCTGAGACACGTGTGGTCACTCGGCTCACCTCCCCTCATCCCAAAAACTATCAGAATCTGAAGGAGGGGGCAACTGGAGCATCTGGAGCTGAGCCCAGCTCCCCATTCTTCTCTCTTCAATGACATCACAGAATCATGGAACCATGGCGTTAGGGGGACCAGCGCCAGCCAACCCCACCCGTCACCTGGATCGGGCAATCCATGAAACTCTCCTCTGGCCTGAGGTCTGCCTATTCTCTCCTCTGAGAGGGTGGGGATGGAGGTCACTTGGCATCATCTTGGCCACTCCCTGGACAAAGATTATCTTCCTACTCTCAAAACAGCACCCTTCCTTTCTTAACCTGAACCTGCTTAATGAATTTTTTTTCACAGACCATAAGCAATCAGTCCACTTCCTCCTTATAAAATCCATCTCTCTGGCCCCAGTGGTGCTCTCCTCAGGCCTAATAGCCCATATCCTTCTATCCGCCATCAGTGGGCTTACTTCCTGGACACACCAGAACACTGGCAGCTCTGGAGGGCGTGACTGAGGAAGCAGGGGCAGAACAAGATGTCAGAGTACAGATGACCCCTGACCCATCCTAACTTCAGGTGAGTGAGTGATGCCCAGGACAAGGAGGGGGACAAGGATGGGGAGAGCAGAGCTAGGACCTTCTGAGAAGAAAAGGCGGGCACAGAGGAGGAAGGCAGCTACCACCAATCCCATCTCTAACAGTCCGAGGTGAGCTGGGGGCGGCTCCAGGCTGCAGAGGCACTGGCTGCCTCCCAGCAAGGCAGGGACTGTGGCTGCTTTATCTTTGGACACTCCACCAAGTCAGGGCCTGAAAACTCTATGAATGTTGAGTAAATGTGTGTGGGAGTAGACACAAGGGGAGTCTGCTGGAGAGCTCAGCCAAGGCTGATTTTGCAGAATATGTGAACCTCTGAGCCATTCCTGGCGTCAGTAGAGTTCCTGGATGACGCTTCCTCCAGCCAAGGCTGCCAGGTGGACTCATACCTCATATGCTGCTGTCAGACTGAGACTTCATGAGTCCAAATCTTGGAGCCCTGGCTGGGTAACTCGGATGGTTAGAGCATTGTCCCAATATGCCCAGGTTGTGGGTTAGATCCTTGGTCAGGGCACATACAGGAATCAACCAATGAATAACCAATGCGTGTATAAATAAGTGGAACAATGATGCAATGTTGCTCTCTTGCTCTCTCATCGATAAATTTAAAATTTTTAAAAAAATAGTCCAAATCTTCTTGTGTTGGATTTTTCTAGAAAATGAGGGTATTTTATATCTACCTACTAGTAGTTACACAGGTTTATAGATATAAAAACCCATGAAACTGTGTGCCCGAGATTACTGCACTTCATGCCCTGTACTACGTGGATATTATCCTTAAACAAAAAAGGAAAAAGGGCCCCACCCTCGCACCTGAGCTTGAGCGTGTGTGGTGCAGTGTCATGCTGGACTGGAGGGTGGCTGCAGTTGGCTCTGTCTTCAAGATTGTTCATCACACGCACTCTGAGACCAGAGACCTTTAGCAAGGACATGGCTGTAGCAAAAGTAAGGGCTGGATAAGACATTCCCTAAGGGCTTTCTTCACTGAATGTGGCTTGGGAAGCAACATCTTAAATTTATATGTGTAGTTAATATAATGCAATATAATACAGTGGAGGGTTATCCAACTTGGGTCTCTAAATCACATTTTCCATGCACTGGACTGTCATTCTGTGATGCCATGGTGGTTTGCTCGTAGCTGGTCTCCGGAGTCTGACCCTGTCCTCTGCCCACAGAATGTTTGGACTGAAAAATTACTTGTGATAGGACATTTCTACCAGTGCTACAGAGACAGCAAATATTCTGCGAGTACCATGAATGACTGTATGCTAACCAATTGGATAACCTAGATGAGTGAAAAAAAATTCCTAGAAACACAAAACTAAGCAAGATTGAATCATGAAGAAATAGAAAATCTGAGTCAAACTACAATAAAAAGATGTAATAAATAGTCAAGAAACCTCCCAACAACAATAACAACAACAACAAAGAAGTCCTGGACCAGAGGGTCTCATTGGGGAATTTTATCAAACATGTAAAGAGCTAACACCAGTCTTTCTCAAACAGTTCCAAAACATTGCAGAAAATGGAATACTTCCTCATTCTATGAGGCCAGCATTGCCCCATGCTGGCAAACAAAGCATAACAAAGCCAAAGGCAACACATACAAAGAAAAGTAAAGGCCAATATCCTTTATTAATATTGGGGTAAAACCCCACAACAAAGCACTAGCACACTGGACTTAGTGGTATATTAAAAGGATAATATGATGGTGACCAAGTGGAGTTTATTGCCGGAATACGAGGATGGTTTAATATACAAAAATCAATGTAATACACCACATCAACAGAATACGGGGGAAAAATACATTATCATCTCAACTGACTCAGGAAAAGCATTTGGAAAAATTTAACATCATTTCATGATAAAGAAAAACATTCAAAAACTAGGAATAGAAGGAAACTGCCCCAACATAATAAAGGCTGCATGTAGAAATATCTATACAGCTAATATCATACTCAATGCTGAGAAAATATTTGCAAATCATGTATATAATAACAGATTAATATCCAGAGTATCAAGAACCCCTACAATTCAACAACAATAACAACAACAAAAACTCAATTCAAAAATGGGCAAAGAACTTGAATAGACATTTCTCCAAAGATATACAAATGGCCAAAACCATATAAAAAGATGCTCAACATCACTAATAATTAAGAAACAAATAAAACCCACAATGAGATACCATTTTACATCCATTAAGAAGGCTATCATTAAAAAAAAAACAAACAGAAAATGACAAGTGTTCGGAAGAATGTGGAGAAATCGGGCCCCTTGTGCTCTGCCGGTAAGAGCGTGAAATGGTGCAGCCGCTGTGGAAAGCAGCATGACAGTTCCTCAAAAAACGAAACACATAATTACACCCCATCCAGCTATTCCACTTCTGGGCATTTATGCAAAAGAAGTGAAAGCAGAGGCCTGACCAGATATTTGCACATAACAGTGCAAATAGCAGTGTTGTCCATAGCAGTGTTGTTCACATCAGCCAAACGTTGGAAACGATCCAAGTGTCCACCGATAGTGAACAGATAAACTAAATGTGGTGTTTACATACAAAGGAACGTTATTCAGCTTTTAAAAAGAACAAAAGTCTGCCCTCACTTGTGTGACTTGGTTGTCCTGTGCACCAAAAGGTTGTGGGTTCGATTCCCAGTCAGGGCACATACCTAAGTTGTGGGTTAGATCAGGGCGTATATGGAATGCAACCAATTGATGTTTCTCTTTCTCTCATTCTCTCTCTCTGAAAGCAATGAAAAGAATGTCCTCAGGTGAGGATAAAAAAAAAAAAGAACAAAATTCTGATAGCTGTTGCACATGGATGAACCTCGAAGGCATTATGCCAGGTTAACTGAGGCAGACACAAAGGTGCGTACATTGTACGATTCTGCTCACGTCCAATACCTGATCAGACATATTCACAGAGGCAGAAAGTGGAACAGAGGCTGCCAGGCGCCCAGGAGAGGGGGAAAGGTGAGTTGTTATTTAATGGGTATGGAGTTTCAGCTTGGGAGAATGAAGCCATTCTGGAGATGGACATTGGTGCTGGTTGCACCACAATATGAATAGACTTAATGACACAAAGTGTACTCTTAGAAATGGCCAGTTTGTGTTGTATGTGTTTGATCACAATTCAAAAATACTCGTGGTACAAAGGAAAGGGAACCCATCTATAAAGCGGCCTGGTACTTGGCAGGCACTAGAAAAATAAACCCATCACAAAGAGATCTTGTTTCTGTCGCCATCCATTCGTTCATTTTGTTTCCCCACTGGGAGTGCCCTGCCCCTCCCTCGGCCCTTTACCTGTCCCCGCCTCGAACTCCTCCAAGACTTGATCTGGGGCTACTCCTCCTGCATAAGGCCATCACCACCCACTGGGCTTCCTTTCTTCCTTGCTTTCTCTAAGCTGCAACTGCAACTCAGTGACATACCGCATCACCTTCCGCATCTCAGACCCTTGCCTGTCCTGCTCCCACTGCAGGCGTGCTGGGGAGTGGTCTGTACCACTTGACCAGTTTCACTTCCTTTGTCATTTCCCTCCTCCCACCTCTTTTATTCTTTGACCTCAGGCTCCCAGAACCCTGCAAATTCCATTCTCTCCTGTTATCAAAACCTGCTTTTTCTAATCCTTCACCCCAAGAATTCCTGATAGAAATTTAAAGTGTTTTTACTCTCAAGGATATTTGAGGACACTCTACAGTCGGGGTAGAATCTCAGGTATCAGCCAGAAGATAGGGAGCTCTCTTGGGAGCCAGGAGGGCTTTTCTGGTGCTCAGGGTATCTGCCACATGGAGGTCAGACCTGGATTCCTCCTGGGATGAGCAGTTCTGTCCTGCCTCCCCTCCTGCCTTTAAGTTCCTTTGGGGTAGTCGCCAGAAGACATGCCCTCCTGGTGCAGGGTCTGCAGCCTCTTGTGCTCCAAGTGGGTCTGGGGTGCATATGAATTCCCAGCCACCTCCCTAAGGCCTGGATCCATGGTTCTGGTGAGATCCTTTGATGAAAGCACAACCCCTGAACTGCAGGACGAAGATGAGGACATTCAGAGGACTCACAAGTCACAGCTGCCCCAGTCTGAGCACCAGCGTGAGCACAGGACCCAGTTCTGGCCAATCAGAACGGTCCACAGTCAACATGTGGCCT